CCGGCTCTGATTCAAAAAAAAAAAAATTAAAAAAATATTTAGCGCGTAAAAGAAAAGAAAATTTTACCTTGCTAGAAAAGTATGTTTTGACGAGGCCGTAGGATTTTTTCGACATTTTTTTGGTACTCAAATCGTTCGTTGAAAGTTCGGTAATTTAGAGAGAGAGAGAGTTTAGAGAGATAGAGTGAGAAAAAAGAGTTAAGGACAAAAGAGTAAAATAGACAATGTTAGTAATACGGGGCCGCAAATAGTAAATGAGATTTGGATTTGATTTTATGTTATCAAAACGTAATAAACCATGAATCCTTCCAATGGAACAGTCTGCACATAGTGATTCTCTTAACTGCACTCTACCCGTTTGCTGAAATGTCAACCAAATAGCAAAAAATGAGTTTATTTGAGAGCTGAATTAAGACAAATCTCTGTCTTGAACTCCTCTGCAGCTCTAATGAATAATTTCGTCATTTTCTTAGCTGTAATTTCCTCATTTCAACCGCCAGTAGCTGTCATCTCATCCCGTTCAATACCCGACCCGACATGCAAGGGTCCCGACCCGACAAACCTCCGATCCGACCAAATGACGGTGATAATCAGCGGTTACTCGGAGCACCGGATCCCGCTGCTCCACTCGATCGCGTCTGCCTACTCCGCCTCGCCGGCGGTGGCCGACGTCGTCCTCCTCTGGTGCAACCCCTCCACCACGGCCCGAACCCTCGCCGGCCTCTCGCGGAACCTCTCCGGCGCCGCCGCTGTGCTCCGCGCGCCCTCCTCCAGCCTCAACCACCGGTTCTATCCCCGGGAGACCATCAGGACCAGAGCCGTCCTCATCTGCGACGACGACGTGGAACCCGACCCGAGATCCGTCTCGTTCGCGTTCGCTGTCTGGAGATCTGACCCGGATCGGGCGGTGGGGCTATTCGCCAGGTCGCACGCATACGACCTCGCGTCGAGGACCTGGATCTACACCATGGAGAGGGAGAAATACTCGATCGTCCTCACCAAATTCATGATCGTCGACATCAAGCACCTCGTGACTTATTCGTGCGGCCGGGAGTACCAGGAGGCTAGGCGCATAGTGGAGGAGATGAACAACTGCGAGGATATTCTGATGAATTTCGTGGTGGCAGAGGAAAACCAGAGGGGGCCGGTGCTGGTGGGGGTGAGGGGAGGCTGGGTGAGGGATTACGGGGACGCACGAAACGATGGGGCGGCAGAGGGGTTGAGGGAGGTGGGTTTGAGCAGCAGAAGAGGGGAGCACAGGAAGAGGAGAGGGGAGTGTATAAGGGAGTTTCATAGGGTCTTGGGGAGGATGCCATTAAAGTTCAGTTATGGGAAGATGGTGGATGATGTTGGGGAACAAGGGCTGTGCAAGAAAAGTGGCAAGTTGGTTTCCTGTGATCAGCAAGACTCCAGGTGAATGATTAATCAAGCTGTCAAGTTTTGTTTTGAAAACGTGTTGTGAAGAGTGTTATCTTTCAAGATTACTATTTTTAGTGACTCTTATAAATGAGTGATGGTTGTTTGCTTTGGTGAGATGGTTACTGGACTAATAGACCCAATCTTTGGATGTAATCATAACCTCTGATGTGGAAGATTTTATTTTAAACAAATATGACTCATTTCTTTATAGTATGATGAGTAATAGGAAGCGTTTGCATACTAGAAATATGGGTTTTTTAATTTAAAAGAGTTGCTATCTCAGAAATGCTCGAGCTTGTATTAGTTTGTTTGTTTATTTATAGTAAAGACTTTCTCCTGAATTTTGCATTTATGATTTGCCAAATGGGAAATTAAAGAAAATGCATTTTGACCACTTATATAGATTTTTTCTGTTTCCGAGATCTTCTTCTATTATTATGGTCATGCGTCTTAGCATAATGATAGGCAACAATAACCAGGCAAACTCTCTCCCTACAAAATTGCAAGAAATCATACTTATATTATATACCCGCCAAATATGGAGCTCCCCTTACACACCTGAATTGGAAAAAGAAAAATAAGGACAAATAGTAAGAGAGAGAAATTTGGTGTGTATGTGTTTGTGTTTGTGTGTGAGAGAGAGAGAGAGAGAGTGATACGGGTCAGGACAAGATTCAGGTTTCAATTTGTAGAACATCTAGAAGTTCTTGTGTTGAAGAACAACGGATACAAAGATAACCACAAGAACTTTGTGATCATCAAGAGGAGGAGAAATTTGGTACAGTGGTTATTTATTCTCTTATTAAGTCTAGAAAAAAAAAAGTAAGGTTTGAAATTTGAGGAAAAGGGAAAAAATGTGGGCCCCACCTGGGAATCATGGGGAGAGGGCTCCTCCAATGCCTAGATTGGTTGCTGTGGCTATTGACAGGGATAGGAGTAGCCAAATTGCCTTGAAATGGGCTGTCGACAATCTTCTTGCCAAATCTTCTTGGTTCACGTCAAAGTGAAACACTCTTTCTCGGGATTGCCCACATCACCATCTTTGCCTACCCCTTGTAATTATAGTTATCTGTTTATTCTTCTCTACTTCATATCTTAGTTTGTATGCATGCATGTTTGATTTTTCGTATATGTGGTTTTTGAGCACCTGGGGTTTCAGATTTATTATCCTGCAATTGCTATGGAATGATTTTGTTGCAAAATTCATCTCTTCATTCTTCTTCTTCTTTTTTTTTTTCATGAAAGTAATTAGTTCATACTGGTATTTTTTTTATTTTTTTTTTCCTTTTGTTCATAGCAATTTAGCATCACATTTATGTTACCCTGTTAAAAAATTTGTTTATGCTCCTACATTATGGTAGCTTAGCAAAGACTTAGATGTTTTAAGCAACGACGTGTTTAAGAATTTAAGTATTTCTGGATTTTATGATGAAACTTGCAATCTTGTGGCATTAGTTTTTGTTTCTCTGTAACTAGTTGCCTGGAGAAATCTTTTCCAAGACACAGAAAATAGAATTGGCTACTTCTCCACAATCGTAGTTAATTTGTATATTCCCTTAAAATTACTTGTTACTTGATTTAACTTGCATAGTTCTGATTAGATCCAGTATTCTTGACAATGCACAAATTGTACTTGGCTCCACATAATAGATTCTATGTTCATTTTCTATGGCGCAGGGCCTAACCATCCTTCAGAACCCGGTGAAGAAAATGGGGATGATGCACAATTAAAGGATTTTTTCCTTCCTTTCCGAGTCTTCTGCACACGTAGAGATGTGAGTGTTCCAGATTTGAGCATATTTGTGTTTAACATGCTGGTTGTGTTATTTTATTTTTCTTTGCTTCTTAGATATAAATGAGAATATCCTGTTCCTGGAGTGGAATCAATCTGTAAATGAAGAAACAAAAATTATCATTTCCTAGGTGCCTTGAGGTTTTTTGTTAAACTATGGCTCTTACAAAGATGGCGTATTTATTCATAAAAGTCAAACGAGAACCAGAATCCAAAAATCTAAAGCTTCCCTTACACTACCTTTACATAGTCGGCTTTTGATAACTCGCCTCTTTTCAGCCAAAAGTTGACAATCACTTTTTGCCAAGTATTAGCGACCCCTCCTGGTACTCACTCTTGACGTTCATTAACTTGCTTGTTTTCTTTTGTCAGATACAATGCTTTGATGTTGTGCTGGATGACACAGATGTAGCAAAAGGTATCCTCGAGTTCATAAAACAATCTGCGATTGACGTGTTGGTTCTTGGTGCTACAGTGAAGGGCAGCATCTTCAAGTACGCGTCGTTTGTTAAGAGCTTGTTTGCCCATGCAAATTATAATTGAAACTCTTTAATTCTCTCTTCATACCTCAAAATGATTATCCCCAATCTAATGATTTTCGCCTAGTCTAAATTTAGTAGCGGTTCTTAAACAAGCAGATTCAAAGCAAAAGACATCCCTGGAAGCGTGTTAAAAGGTGCCCCAGATTTTTGCACCATATATGTGATCCACAAAGGCAAGATCTCGTCCACACGGGCCGCATCCCGCCCGGCCCAATCCATTCTGAGCCCGATTCATAACCAGATACTGTATCAAGCCAGCAGCAAGATTTATGGATCAGAACAGCCACCAACTGCAACCACCCCCAGTTCTAGAAGTTGGTTACTATTCTGAAGTCTGGTCTTATCCTTTTTCTATCTCAATTTTGATCTCACTTTTTGTCTTTATGCATTTTTTTTCGCAGGTTCATATTCAGGACATTGGCGGCCAGGATCTGAACCAACACCAAGTGCGAGGCAGATGGAGGCCAATGCTATCAAGTATGTGATATAAGGTTTCCGAAGGGTTGTAATTTAAATTAAGGAAATTATGAAATAAACTCTGATTTTGACCCAAGTAAAAAATAAAAGAAATAAAAAGTCAATATTTTGCATTGACAGCGGAACGAAATCCTGTATACTAAAGCTATAGCTTTAACTTTGTTATCACTCACGGATAGGTCCCCGTTCACTCATAGGCGGGCTCCGAATGGAAAAGCATACGAATTGTCTACACCAGAGACAGACATATCATTTGTCAGCCCATCCACTAGGAGAGGTGTCGACGATAGCTTTGATGGGGCCCCCACTCCTCCTCGGCATTCTGGATTCTCAGACATTGACTATTCCGACATGTGGCACCAGGGCCGCAAATCCATGGACATCTCAATCCCTCTTGAACTCCCTGCCTCTCCAGAGAATGAGAGGGCATTCTCGGCACATACAATGGTAAGCTCGTCTGCGTTGAGGACTTCAAGATGTATAATTATGTGCAAAAACTGATCATGCAACAAATCTGGCTCCTATGGTAATTTTGTTTACTTTTATTTAAGTTGGAAAAGTAAGATTTGCTTAGCTAATTAATGTTCACAGGATGAAGTAGAAGCTGAAATGAGAAGACTAAAGCAGGAGCTCAAGCAAACAATGGATATGTACAGTACTGCATGCAAGGAAGCACTATCTGCAAGAGAGAA